TTTTCGTCCAAGGCCCTATTCCAGAAGGTTCCTTGGGCTGTTTGGTCATTAAGCTGTCCATTAGGGTTTAGACTGAAACCCTAGCAGCCTACAGTATAAATAAGACCCTTAGCCTTCAATTTCCGGCCACTTGCTTCCCAAGTGACTCTAAGCTCCAAGAAAGAAGATTCAAGCTTCCATTGAAGAGGTAAACATCTAGATCTGATGTTATATGTTAATTTCGAAATTATGTATGCTAGATTAGAGTTTGTAAGTCTTGGATTCATTGCATGTACAATAGAGAAACCTAGATCCAAGCATTAGGGTTTGTATGAGTACATAGGATTGTTCTTATGCATATAAACTATCACAGACTTAGTGCCAAAACCCTGGCGACTATGCAGACTTAGTGCCTGTTGTATTAACCTTGGTGACTATGCAGACTTAGTGCCTAAACTCTGGCGACTATGCAGACTTAGTGCCTGTTGTATAAATCCTGGCGACTATGCAGACTTAGTGCCTAAACCCCGGTGACGATGGACTTCGTGCCGATTCCTTAGGAATGAATGAACGAGGAATAGTTGATTCTTAGGGTAGATCCTTAAGAGTAAAGAAGATAATGGGGATGTGTAATTGGGTTGATTGTTTTATGTTTAAACATAATAATTATATTGTTGTGGGTTGAAAACCCTATGTACTCACCAGGTTTCCCAACCTGACACACTCAAGCTTATTTGAATCACATGTGCCGATATGAAGCCACTTTACACTGAGAGATTTAAAAGAGATGTAGATCACTAGTGTAAATGAATGTAAGTTCTGTTTATGTTTATGTTTCTGTATTGACAATGACATCCCACGGTTTTGAAAATGAATAAAAATACATTTCTTCGGAAATGCTTTGATAACGTATTTATCATGTTTTACTGAGAACAAATTCCGCAACACTTTTATTAAAAGAGATACTCTGATTTTTATAAAGCATAAACAAAATTGGTCTTTTCTAGCCGTGAAAATCGGGATGTCACAGAAGAGTATTAGGGTTTAAGTGAGAATCTACCTTCGAGAATTGGTGATTAAGTTTGGATATGACTGAGTTCTTGCTATGGAATTCCTGATTTTTTTGCTATCAAATTTGAAACTAATTTCCAGCAGAATAGTATTTGTGGAAATTCACTTTGGTATTTTGAGCGGGATAAATCGATGGGGAGGGGCTAATTGAATGACACATGACAAAATTGTTCTTATTTATTAGATTAGGGGATGTTAGAAAAATAAAATCAGAACCACAAACACTGTGGAACTTATTATAACGATATGTTGTAATAAGTGTGATTTCATCTAACACATTTTTTGTTATGAAAAAATCACATTAATTAAGAGTCGATTTGACACTACACTTAATTAAGAGTGGAAAACCACCTTGTGCGTCAAATTCAACTTCCAATTTATGATGGTTTACTACCGACAATCACTGGGAATGATGATATCATTAGCCAACTCTAGTGCTTTTTTGGTTGAAATATGGATTTGAAATTCTTGTTATAACTTCGCATGAAACGAAGTTTAATAATGTATTGACAAAACTGCACAAATGGTCCCTGTGGTTAACTGAAAATTGACACTTTGGTCCAAAAAGGTTTGGACTAGCACAAGAGGTCCAAACTTTTCATTTTGTTGCGAGTTTGGTCCACTTTTCTCTAAACTTTTTCATAATGACTATTTTGCCCTTATTTTTTTTTCTTTTTCAGTTTTTTTATTATTTAAATACTTTTTTTGATTAAAAGAAAAAAAAGAAAAAAAGAAAATTTGCATTTTCTATTTTATTTTTATAATTTTTTTTATAACAAAATAAAAAAAAATAAAAATGAAAAATCTCTCTCTCTCTCTCTCTATCTATCTCTCTCTCTCTCTAAGAGAACGTCATCGCCCTTACTCCCTCACCCAAGCTTTACTCTCGTCGGAAATCGTGAACACCACCGGAAGAAAAGATGAACACCACCGACAGAAAAGATGAACGCCACCAAATCGAAGCTCTGGCAGCGAAACCCTAACCCTAAAAGTTCCAGGCTGTGACACATAGATCGAAGCTGGGGATTGAAGCGATGACAACCTCTGAAAACCCTAGGGTTTTAGGAAATGAGAATGGTAGCAGCCTCTGAAGCTCACCCGAGGGTCGTTTGATGGAGCCAGGAGGGTCGAGAGACGGCGTGGACGGTGCTAGGGCTTGTGTTCTGTTCATCTTGAAACCACCATCGTCTTCTTTCTTCTTCTGATCCAATCGGTCGGCAACACACGAAGGAGGAATAATGACTTCAGTCCTCTGCCTTTGTCTAATCGAGAAGAGGGACCCGATTGGAAGCAGCAACAGATTGAGGGGGATGTATGTGGGTGGTGATCGTCCGCAGAAAGGGGATGAGGAGGAGGGTTGGGAGTGGGTTTCTCCGGTCCTTGTCTGATTAGGGAAGAAAGAACTTGAACGAAAGCAGAAAAGAAACACGAGAGCAACAAATAAACTTGGTCCTATGGTGGTTCATCTGTGGTGGTTACACAGTCACGAGGAGGGCTGCCGGCAAAAGGCTATCCCCGAAGCCTTCATTCCCTTTCTGTTGTGATCGGCAACAAAACGTAAAAGAGGATGGAGGTCTTCGATCCTCTGTTGATCCGAGAAGAAGGAAGCATTAACGGAGGCAACAGTTGGTGGCGAGGGAGGTGTTGGTGGTGGCGATGGCAGCCCATTGGCTCGCCGGTGGAGTTGTTCTTGATGGTCACCGGAAATGCATCCACCTCCGGTGGTGTTTTTACCATAAAAATGAAGAAGAAAAGGAAGAAATGAGAGAGAGAGAGAGAGAGAGAGAGAGAGAGAGAGAGAGAGAGAGAAATTTAATTTAATTTTTTATTATTTTTATTTTTTTTAAATCTGAAAATCAGGAAAACAATTAACAAAAAAGAGAAAATCATATTAACAAGGGCAAATCCGTCATTTTGAAAAAAATCAGAATAGATTGGACCAAACAAGCAACAAAATGAAAACTTTGGACCTCTGCTGCTAATCCAAACTTTTTTGGACCAAAGTAGCAATTTTGAGCAAACCACAAGGACCATTTGTGCAGTTTAGTCTAATGTATTTATAAAACTCGCATTGTTTGGTAAATCCGTAAATGAAATAGCAAAAGGACAACTTTTTAAGGCTTAACTAAATCCGTAAATGAAATAGCAAAATGACAATTTTTAAGGCTTAACCAATCCAAATTCATATTTGCTTGACAACTAGGATATCTGAATGACTGAATTGTTATATATATCTGGTAAATATCTAAAATTTGATAATTGTTATATATATCTGGTAAATATCTAAAATTTGATATTTGTACTTATATACGTAAGTGTTAAATGGGTTCCTCAATATCAATGGCATTCCGTAAATAATATATTAAAGATAGTTTTAGAGAATTTGTGTATATGTTAAATCATTATGTTTTACATAAAATTAGAGGATTATTATTGATTCTATAATAAAGAATAATTGTTCGATAGAGATTGAAACAAAAAAAAAAAAGTAAATTACACGAATGGTCCCTATGGTTTGGGGTAATTTACGTGTTTGGTCATCAACTTATTTTTTTAACTCGGAAGGTCCTTACTGTTTGTTTTTGTTACGCGATTGGTCCCTATCTTACCTTAAAAAGACTATTTTGCCCTTGATTTTTTAATTTATTTAACTAAACACACCCCTACCCCAACCCCCCACCTTACCTTACCTACGTCACAATTTTTTCCTATTTAAATAATAATCTTTTTAGGTGAGACAGGGACTAAGCGCGTAACAAAAACAAAGAGTAGAGACCAAACGCGTAACAAAAACAAATAGTAGTGACCTTCCGAGTTAAAAAAATAAGTTAGGGACCAAACACGCAAATTACCCCAAACCATAGGGACCATTCGTGTAATTTACTCAAAAAAAAAACAAATTATATAACTAACAATCCATAAGTAAATTAGCATGTGTGTAGAGTGTTTGATAAAACTAAAATTTTTATTGTTGATTGATTGCAAGCTTTTAATGATTTAGAGATAGTAAAGTTTCTAAAATGTTAAAAGACTTTTTATTTTTTGTTCATAAATTCTTTAGATGTTGTATCAAATGCGTTGAAACGCGTTGAATTCTAGCAGATTCAGACGTGTCTTATGAATTGTTTCATTTAGAATTATTTTTGATGGTTGAAAAATTGTGAATATAATAAAAATGGCAATGCCTAGAATTAGCATAAAACATATTGAATCAATGATTGATTTATGTTATAAACTTTTAATAAAAAAAAAGACAAAATTGCCTAATACCATTAGAATTTTTACAGAATAAACAAAAATTAAAATATTTTTCATTCTGGCCATTAATTTTGCAGATGTAAAATGAATAATTGGAAAGTGAGTTGCTAAATGCACTGTGAATGGTTTATCGTATATAAGACATATTGTTCTCATTTTTACATTATATGAAAACCATCTAAAACATGTATTTTACATCATTTAAATTTTTGATATGGAAATGGTCTTGAAGATTCATACCCGAAAAAAACATTTTTTTTACATAAAACCTATAACTTTTATATCATGGATTTACTATGGAAATTGTCTTTAAAAAATTCTTCAATAAAAATTTCAATTTATTTTTGTATTTTTATAGATAAATTATGTATTTTTACAAGTCAAGTCTAGGAAAAAACAATTAGTATCTTTTTTTTTTTTTTTCTCAAAACATGGTATTTAAACTATATTGGTGAGATTTTCAAAATTGATGATTATTGCAATAAGCCTTTAATTTTGACTTTAAATAAGTCAATTTCTATTTTATGATTCACATCACAAACCTTTTAATATCTATTTAAAAACATATTCTAAACGTTGAAAATTATTTAAAACTATTATTTTATTTACAATTTTTCCCGTCCATGAACCAAAAAGACATGAGTCAGTCATGACTCATGAGTCAAGATATTAAAATTAACGTCTCTTTCTAAAACCTAGATATGGATTTACATTTAACAAGGTCAATTAATGCAATTGGTATTCAATCTGAGCCTGAATCCAATTGTAACCCATTGATTTTGCTGTTGATAATCCGAATTCTTGTATAGATTACAATCCAGTCCACAAATCGCCAACTTATTGTTCCCGATTCATCCACCTCATTGATCCGATGTTGGCAGCAGCATGCACCGCCACCGTATTCTACCCGCGTTTTACTCCAGACTCCGCCATCCGCGCCGCTCCGGCATTGAATCCAACTCTTTCCGTTAACTACTCGCTTCACCGACCTTGTCGTTTACTTACTTCCTCACCGCCGGCTGATTTCAAGGTTTATGGCGACAAGAAGTCACAGCTTCCCGAAGTGTTCGATTCTTCAGGTTTTATATTCTATATTAAGATGTAGCGCGTTTTTAATTATATCATCTCGTTTTTGCTTTCTGTGGACAGAGAACGAAAATTTAGTGTCGGAAGAACAGAGTTACGAAGAAATCGACATCGGATGGTTACCTGCATTTCCTCATGTATTGGTTGCTTCTATGTCGAATTTCCTTTTCGGTTTTCACATCGGGTAAATCTCCATCCACGAATGAATATTACATGAATGTAATCACATACATATGAATAGAATCACCAACAATTTTAAATTCAAAATTTATAATAGACTCCTGGTTTATGATTTTGAATATACTTTAATGGTGTAATGCAGTGTAATGAATGGACCTATTGTATCTATTGCCAAAGAGCTAGGGTTTGAAGGCAATTCAATACTTGAAGGGCTGGTTGTCAGCATCTTCATTGCAGGTGCTTTTCTGGGAAGTGCAGGCGCTGGTTACCTGGTTGATCGACTTGGTTTCAAAAAAACCCTTCAGGTCGACACAATACCTCTGATTCTTGGTGCCATTTTAAGGTATTTTTTGTTTGAATTCATATAACTTTCCTTTCACAATTTTAGTAATATGTCTAGTCCTATGTCTAAACTCTAAAGTTTATACAAGAATTTACAAATTGTTAACACCTTTGACACATAGAATCTTTACTGTTTTGACAGTGCACAAGCCCACTCTTTGGATCAATTATTATGGGGACGATTTTTTGTGGGTCTTGGTATAGGAGCAAATGCAGTTCTTGTCCCTATTTATATATCAGAGGTATATTTCTTTCTGAGGCTTCTTAGTAATTTTTTGTTGAATGAATTGTCCTAAATCTTTCCCAGATATATAAGAACTTAGACTGATTAGAAGCTCAACGTTTCAAAACTAAAAATAACACAACCTTACATTAAAGAATATAAATGTCATAAAGTTGCAGCATCTCATTACATCATGGAAGCAAATCCTTATAAAGTCATCACCATTTTTTGCAGGTAGCTCCAACAAAATACAGGGGTACATTGGGGAGTGTGTGCCAAATTGGCACGTGTACTGGAATTATCGCCTCCCTCTTTCTTGGAATTTTCTCAGACAGTGATCCTCATTGGTAAAACTCTTTTCTTTTTGTTAATTAGGATTTTTGGTTAAAAAAATGGTCTTTTATTTTTATCACCATTTATTGAACTTTTGACAGGTGGAGAACAATGCTGTATATAGCAAGTGTACCCGGTTTTATTCTAGCACTTGGTATGCAGTTTGCTGTAGAGAGCCCCCGTTGGCTATGCAAAGTAGGGCCCATTTGGGATTTTCTCAACTTAACTCCCAAATAATTTCAATCACAAGTTCTTGAAAAAAAGGGCACAATTTTGTTACCAAGTAAAAAATAAGCTTACAATGAAAAAAAAAATGATTTCAGAAGATTGTATTGATTGATTGTGAAGGCTGGGAGGCTTGATGAAGCTAAAGAAGTTATCTTTAATCTGTGGGGTCCATCTGAAGTTGATAAAAGCATTGAAGAATTTCAGTCTGTTCTTAAAAATGATGGTGGTGATTTGGACAGCAGATGGTCAGAACTTCTAGAAGAGCCACATTCTAAAGGTAGTCTTATTGTTTTAATATTTTATGTTGTAAATTTTTAAATGAATTACAAATTTTTATTGTTTTAATGTTGTAGTGGCATTGATTGGAGGGACTCTTTTTTGTACTTCAACAGTTTGCTGGCATTAATGCTGTTCTTTATTTTTCATCTTTGACTTTCAAAGATGCTGGAATCTCAAATGGTGCATTGGCAAGCTTATATGTTGGATTAACCAATTTTGCAGGTTTTAAATGTGGTGTTATTTATTTACATTCTGGTCCTCATGCATGAATCCATATGCCACTAAATTTTTTATTTTTGAAAATAATTACAGGTGCACTTTGTGCTTTGTATTTAGTTGATAAACAAGGGAGGCAGAAGCTTATAATTGGAAGTTATCTTGGAATGGTAAGATCTAACAACTTCTTCATGTAAATCAATCATTTTAGCCTAATCACATGAGGGTAATTTTGTCTTTTAGTAAAAGTAGGAAGAATGGAATTGATCACCTTCTTCTACACACCCATAGCAATTGTGAAATCCATGAAACATGGAATTTGAAGGAATTAATTTGGCAACCAAACATGTCATGTAAATTGTAATGGAATCTTGAATTCCAAATCCGTTGTATTCCCCCAGAATCCATGAACCAAACAAGTTGGTAAAATAATGCATAAATTGATAAAAAAGTTGGTAAAAAAAAAAATAAAAATAGAAACATGGCTATATAAATCAGTAAAAAGTTGGGTAAAGAAATGAAACATAGCTTCATAAATTGGTAAGAAATCCACTTTGATGCATAAATTGATCCAAAAAAAAAAAAAGGTGCAACTTTATTATATAAATAAGTGTTTTACACTATTCTTTATATACATTTGTTTTCTTTCCCTACTAAACTTTAATTATTACTTATGCTTACAGGCAATATCAATGTTTCTTGTTGCCTCTGGTATCGGCTTTCATTTAGATGAAGAGCTTCGTAACAACTTATCAATTTTAGGGACCATCTTGTAAGGAATAGTGTTATTACTATTATATCATCTTTAATATTATTAAAGTATAATTTTTGAATTTTTTTTATTTAATATTAAGGTACATATTGACATTTGCAATCGGAGCTGGTCCAGTAACGGGTCTTATTATACCTGAGCTTAGCAGCAGCAGGACACGTGGAAAGATCATGAGCTTCAGTTTTTCAGTTCATTGGGTATGATTTTTTTTTTATTTATTAGTAGTTGTTGATTTTTTAATATTATTTTGTGTATTTTAATTCAGGTGTGTAATTTCTTCGTTGGACTATTCTTCCTGGAGGCGACAGAGAGATTCGGTGTGGCGCCGGTTTATGGGAGCTTTGGTGTGGTGTCGTTATTGGCAGCGTTGTTTTCTTACTCTTTCTTGGTTGAAACTAAAGGACGGTCTCTTGAAGAAATTGAGATGTCACTAAACCAAAGTTTCACCGAACGGGACTAGTTGTGATTTTTGAAAGAGAGTTGGATAATTTGAATGAAATCTATTTGAGTGTTGACTTTATATTCTTAGTTTGTTATATGATGAAACCTAATAAGATTTAGAAATCAAACATATTTTATGTTTTAGATTTTGATTAGTTTCATATTTAAAAGGAAGCTTATCGTAGGAAAGGGAGAATGGAATCTACAAACTAGCTAAAGACAATGGGACATAGAAATCGTTAGGTTTATTAAGGATGCCAAGAGTCGAGCTTTAGTGAAGGATGAGGATACAAGAGGAAATCTCATAATTATTTTCATTCTTTATTTAATGAAGGATTTGAATGTGGAACGCTTTTTTCGTCGGATTAGTTGCAAGGAAGTGAAAGTGGCTTTGAGGATGGTGCTTTCATTCGCATCGGGTGTAGAGTTGAGGTTGGCGACACACATACGTAGGTTTGATTGTCCTAGAATCGTCTCACATATAAAAGTGTTACCACGCCTGTGAATGTTAGGTTCTCTGTCTTTTGTTTCCATTTGAAGATTTCTCCAACACCTTTTTCTCGAGTTATTTTAAGGAAGGGGTATTTTGATCATTTTCATCATACCCGACGTCTGATTTTGATTTTTAACAGAGTTAGCCACAAGGATCAACTTGTCTTGTCTAGCATTATCCTAAAGTTGATACCTTTTGAAAACCACTTGGACCATTTCTAAATTCTCTCTAAAATTTGTTATGATATAGAATAAAAATTAAAAATTTGATCCATGTGGTTGGCACCAATGTACACTTTGGTCCAAGTATTCAAAATTTGATGTGACTCTTTCTTGTGGTTTGTAAATGACCATATTATCCTATTTTTACTTTTTTTTATTATTATATTTTGGGCATTAAACATTATAATATGGACCCTAAACAACCACCATAATCAAATATCTAACCTAAAATCGAAACCAAATTAAAACCTTTGAAAAGTCAAAACTAAATTCAAGCCTATTATTGAAAATTCATAACATAAACAATATCCGATTCCCCAGCTAAATCTAACCCTAAATTAGAATGTGAAGGAAAAAGAAGGATGAGTAGATGTGACAATGTCAGAGGAGGCAGACGTAGCTATTGTTATACTCGCTCTTGAAGTGAGATGAAAGAAAAAAGTGGTCAGAGGAGATGAGGCAACGCGTGAAAGACAAATGATAGAGGAATGAATCTCGATGATGGTTTTGGAGGCGGTATTGATGGACCATCAACAAGAAAGGAAGAGGCGGGCGAAGGAGCTAAGGTGGCAGGGGAGATGGTTGGTGGTCGTGAGGTAAACAGATGAGATGGTTGGCAATGTAATTTGGGTCTATGGATATGGTAACTAACTCAATCATTAATTCTTTCAAACAAGACAAAAGTTGTCTCTTTTATATTTATAAAAATAGTTTATGCAGTTCATATAATAATAAAACAAAGAAAAAAGACATATTAAGGGTAGATTAGTCACTTTACCTATCATAATATAATGTGCTTAATGGGAAAAAGGCAAAAGGATTAGGTGTGTAAATTTTTCAAACCATGAGGATGAGCCACAAATTTTTTGAATATTTGGGCCCAAAGTGCACACTATTGCTAACCACATGGACCAAATTATAATTTACTCTATTATCTACTAATAATTAATTTTTATTTATTTACGTCCGTTTAAATAACAACCACCAACCAATTTTTTATACACAAAAAATGTGCGGGAGTGCACCAACCAGGATCCGCCAACAAGGACGATGGGATTTGCATAGACATTGGCTGCTCGGTTGACCGTTGGCATGTCACTCTCAGTTTTCACGCATTGACAAATCGGAGCAATCATCGTCTTCTTCTTCTTCTTCTCTCGATGCGCCGGGGCTAGGACTATCTCTATTGGTCTTATAGATTTTGTCTGGAGATCTTTTGAGCTCTTGTTGGTTGTGTATTGACCTAGTTCGATCAATTTTGAGAAGAGATAGGGTTTCTCTCGCATGTAAAAGAGATGGATTCCACGGGTATTGATGGCGGTGGCGAAGGAGTGAGTTTAATAGAAAGAGAACGGTCTCATGTGGTGGAATTAGCGGCGTCGACCGAAGGTTCCGATCCAGTTTCGGAGGACCAGATAACTCCTCTTTTGACGCAATCAGACAAGCCCAAACTCAGTATATTTACCGTCTCGTACCCTAAGCGAAAAAACAACAAGGTATTTTAGAAATCCATACCTCAAATTGAAGAAAATAAACCCTAGTTTATGCGTAGTTTGTTGCTCATGTCTGTAGCTTTGATGTCGGTTTTATGACTAGAGCTCACTTTTTTTTTGTAGGAATTATTCACGCTCGCTTATATCCGAAATTGGTTATTGTAGCGTTTCTTGATGAGTAACCAGTAATATTTGTGGTCATTGCAGGACCAAATTGCAAGATTAATTGAAACGGAGACATCGCCATTTACACAGTTTATAATATGGATATGGGGCGGATCTAGGTATTCCGGTATGCTAAGCATGGTTTTATCATCTTCTATCTACTTCATCATGGAAGTTCTTCAGGATGTTGGCTCTGGTTAGTAATTTCTTACTGTATTGGAACAATTGCCTTTACTAAATTACTAGAATAACAGTAAATGTGAACATTCTATAGTTATGTTCCAGCTACACAAAAAAACTGACAAAAAGACTACGCTTAAACTGTATGCTTGATGTGTTTACTAAGTTTCTTATGCAATCAGAAATAATGTGTACAAGGATTTCATGTTACTGCTTGGATTATTGGCATTAAGGATTGCTACTAGTTTGTCACCAGTTTATCTCACTTATTTTTTGTAATGACAGCTCAAGCAATTCCTCTTTTTGAGATAGCATTTACAAGATGTGTAATCATCTCCATATTATCATATATGTGGTTAAGAAGAAGTGGAGAACCAATATTTGGACCTCCAAATGTCAGGAATCTTTTAGTTTCAAGGGCTCTTACTGGATGTATATCTTTGTTAACTTTCATTTACAGGTAAGTTTTCTTCCAACACCACCTGCAGTTTGAAAAATTAATAGTACTTTATCATTTGTCTGGAAGTGCCAATTTCTCTTAATATTTGGTTGACACTTTATTTATTTATTTATTTTTTAATTTTGCAGTGTTAAGAGATTACCTATGTCTCAAACTATGATATTAAGCTTTACAACTCCAGTTATGGCTTCAATCGCAGCACGCTTCATTTTGCATGAGAATTTGAAATTAGCAGAATTAGCAGGTAAAATAGCAATTCTATTTAAGAAACAATTGATCATATTTAGAATTTGATACAATGCATTTCAAAATTCTACAATCTATATGATTTTAATCAGAGTCCATATGTCACCACTAACACCAAAACCTAGTAAGTTAACATATTGTAGGACTGTTTTTACAGAATATTTAGAGTTACATTACCAAACTATGATCCAAGGAGTCATTATTTGTTGTTTATATCTTCTATTCAAGTCTAAACATTACCCAATTATGTTGGTTGCTAAATACTTTTTACAATTTGGGTATTATACCTTCACTAATAGCAACCTAGTTTCATAAATAGTAATGTACTTTTATTTGTGTAGGATTCTTAAATATCATTGTATTAATGATTAGTATTTCATTAATTAAGCAAAATATCATTTCATAATCATATAATCATATTTTGACATCTCTTACCAATGTCTAAATATTTAAGTATAATCTCATAAAGTTACTAGATATTACATATAGTAACAATATTCATACTCAATTTGTCCATATTCATTTAATTTATGAATATACCATAACAAACCCTAGCTAAGATTTATGAATATCAAGATTTAGGATTTTTTTCTTTGAAATCCTTTACATGTTTTTCTGTTAATTATCATTTCCAACAAGTTTGATAAACATAATTCCAAAATAGGATCAAATTGAGTCTTGAGATGAGAGGGTGTTAAGATTTGATAAAAAATGTCTAAAATATGGAAGAGATTGAAGGTATTGGTTTTTCATTTTTTCTGATGATTGATTTTTTTTTTTTTTTTTTTTTTTTTCAGGTATTGGTTTCAGTTTTTTTGGTGTGCTCTTTATACTTGGATCACCTATCAGCATACAAGGTACATAAGTGAGTTGGGAAATCCATGTAACAGTCCCTTCCTTCCTTATCAACAGCCACATAAGCAGGGTTGGCATGTCAGCACCCAAAGGACTATAGTTGTCAAGAATACATTTTTTAAATGGTGAAAAATGCAGTTACCAAATCTCTTCCTTTTGTTGTTCAGAAGTTTCAGGAGAAGGTGGAGGTGTCCATGGAGTAGGCCATGTTTTTGCAGTTTTGATTGGTTCATTATCATCATTGGCTGGTGGAATAAGTTACTGCCTTATAAGGGCTGCAGCAAAAGCCTCTGACCAACCTATGTAACTATGACTTTTTCATTTTATTATTATTACTTTTTTTATATTAAAAATATAAAATAATAATGTTGGTTTCTGTTTCAGGGGTACTGTATTTGCATTTGGCCTTCTCTCTAGTCCTGTTGCAGCAATATGCATGATCGCCACCCAAGTAAGACTATGATTTGGCTGAATTTCCTGTGTTTATCTTTATATCTTATTTGTTTAATATTTTGTTGCAGGAGTTTGTGCTTCCTAGCTTCTATTCTTTCATTCTTATGATTGTTCTCAGCATATTGGCCTTTTTTGCTGAGGTGATTATGCTTAAACTTACATAATATACAATAATATATCATTAAAATTTAAAGCAAGGGCAAATTCCTTTACTCTCATCACCAGTAATAGCAATGTACTTACATTTTTCTACCAATAGGGCATTGTATTTATTTTGCAATTTTTCCCTAAAAAATAATATTATTTTGCTGCAGTTATTTCTGGCACGTGGGCTTCAACTTGAAAAAACCAGCAAAGTTGCAAATATTCAATACCTTGAGGTAAATTCTAATTCTGGTCAAGAAACATGTTTCATTTAGCTCCAATTAAAAAAAATGGCTTCAAATTTTCATATAAAGTAAAATTTATGAGATTGAATTGGAAAAAATGGTCCCAAAAGTTTTGGGATTTTTTTTTGAGAAAACATAAAGAACATATTCTTGATGGATAAGGGTAGATATTGTAACCTTTTGTAGTATACACAATTGCATCTACCTTTATTACAAAGGGAGCTTCCAGGAAGCCTGCAAAAATGTCAATACAATAATAGAAAATATGTTTTTTTTTTTCAGGTGGCTTTATTTGAGTTATGGGGAATGGGATCTTCACGAGTGATTGTGTCATTTGGTAAATTTGTTGGATGCTTTCTTGTATTTGTTTCAGCTTTTTGTACCATTTATTTTGGACCAGAGAAAGAGATAGAGATGGAGTGACATCAGCATGTCTTACAAAGGTTAGCCATGCCATCATGTCACCACCCATTTTTGTTTTTGTAAACATTTATTTTTTCTGAAAGAAACAATATACCAACCATAATCAGATATATATAGAAACAAATTTGGTCTATAGCTGTAATTATAATATTATTTACATCACTTAAGTTATGTTTTTAAAAAAATAATCCAACTACATGATGTAATATTATCTAATTTACATGTCACGAAATCAGGGCTAGAATTAGATAAGTTGATACGTTTCGTTATCTAGCTACAATTATAGTATAAAAGTTAATGGAGTTTGTTGTTTAACAAAAAATATCTTTGGATCATGCATGTTATTTGTTCAAGACATGGAAGTGTTTGGATATTTTATAAATGCGATTATTGTTTTATTTGATAATTTGGTTTTGATTATCATTTGTTTTCTACAAGAAATTTATTTTTAAGATTAAACTATAAATTTAATAGTTATTTATAGTTTTTATCGGAAAGTAGACCGGTAGATGCTTATGCAGAGCTTGACATTGTGTAAACCATCATTAAGTTTGAATTCTAAAATTGCTTTAAAATTCTTTTAAGTAGCACATGTTGTATAGTTGCAAAAACCGATATGAATTGAACAAATGGTTGATACAACATGACACAAATTTGAAAATCTTAGATTGAGAATTTCAATTAAAAAATGATCATGTATTATGTGAGTTTATTTTAAAACAAAAATAAATATAAAGATCTAAATATTTGAGAAGTTTTAATTTATAAAAAAAATAAGAAAAATATTGAATTATTAAAATGAAAGTGTTTTTTTTTATAAATTTAAATAAATAATTTAGATAAATAAACAAAAGAAACTAATGATGCTTTAATTTAAGAATTTTGAAATTAGTTCATTAATGAAATTGATATTCATTTATTATTACAATTATTGTAATTATTATATTTAAATACTATGTAGAATTTAATAAAATATAAAAAATCATAAAATGATATGTTTAAAAAAATTAATTTAAAATAACTACAAAGTAACATGTCGGCAAAATGAACGAGAATGTGACATATAACAAAAAAATATTTATTCATTAGAGTAGATTGGACAGACCTAAAACCAAAACCAGATATTCATAGAAACTTTGAGTTAGGTCATTTTGTAACGTGGAAACAACTTAGTCGACTGGGTCAAGATTTTATTTTCAAGTTTTATTTTCTTTCTCATACCCCATAGTCTCACTCCTTTACTCACTCCTCGTTATTCGACCATTTGCCTCTCCAACTACTCTTTTCACTTTTGCCCTTCAAACTTACTATCAATGTCACTTTTTACTCTTCTCCTCCCAACTCTTGCTCTTTCCATATTTTCATTTTTTTCTTTTTATCTTTCCAACTCCTACTCTTTTAACATGCTAAATGTTTACAACCCGACATGACACAACATATTTATTGGGTCTAAACCCTAATCCACTAACCTGATGCGAAAATAAACAGGTTGATACGAGACGACACAATAATTAACAGATTAGGTTATGATAAATATCTCTTAACTCGTTTAGTGGTTCAAAACCTCACACGACATATTTGTCACGTTTAATATGTTGGCTAGTAGATAGCTTGATTGTAAAAATAACTTGGCAAATTAGTAAATACTTGGCTTTGTAAACCCTTTGACTTATGTCCTCTGGCTAAATTCCCCCTGGGGTTTTCTTTATTTACAATATCTACGTCTTGTGTCAAAAAAGGAGGTAAAAGAAGCACCAAAATGTTGCTTCATTTTGTTTGCACACTGTGGAATCCTTATTGGGAAAGAAATGCAAGGAAGACTCCAAACAGACCACCTTTATCAACTCATTGGTCCCGATCAGTTACCAATAATGTTACCTTAAAATTACAACTAAGGCTGGAGAGAGTGGTGTCATACTTTCTCATTTTGCCACAGTTACCAATAATGTTACCTTAAAATTACAACTAAGGCCGGAGAGAGTGATGTCATACTTTCTCATTTTGCCACACTGCTACGTAAGCGACGCATCAACATTTACCACAAAAGTGTGGTTTCATGTCACATCTAAGAGTGGTGCCACACTCCTTTATTTATTTTTTTTAAAATAGTTAAAAATTCTAGTTTTAATTAAAAACAAAAGATTTCATTAATTAAAAATAAAAACTCATTACATTGTATTACTTGAAAAAAAAAACATAACATTACATTAAAAAAAATCCTACAAACTTAGGAAAAAAAAAACTCAAACGAACTACATGAAGTCGTACTCCGAAAACTTGTCTTCTAGGTCATCCGGTGGATCCAAATTAAGATTAATGTGTTGAATCCCGTAAATGTGCTCCACCAAGTCTATGCGAAGATTGTGAAATATTTCATTGGAAATTCATGCGAATATTATGAAATGTTTCAATGGAACGAACATTTGCTCTCTTTTTCATGTACTCGTCGTTACCAATTTTTATTGGTTGTGTCTCGGGGATGGTTTTCCTGCTCATCATACACACATATCGCTCTTCCTTTGTCTTCGATAATCATTTTATGCAGTATTATACATGCATACATGACTTCCTGAAATTTTTCCTCGCCGAAATAAATTGCTGGTTTTTTCAATACGAATCAACGTTTCTTGAGAGCTCTAAAAGCCTGTTCGACATCCTTCCTAGCTCTTTCTTGAGCTTTCTTGAATTTTTTCCGTCTAGAATCATGTTGACATGTAAACGATTTAACAAAAACTGCATACTTATATGGTGTTCCACACACTTGAAAAGAAGAATCTGGTGCAGATCCGTCATATATGTTATTAAATATAGGTGAACGATTAAGAACGTTAATGTCGTTAATCGAACCAGGAGAACCAAAAAAAGCATATCAAATCCACTGATCCTGTGACGCCACTACTTCAAGTATGACCGTTGGGTGACCATGATCACCTCGGGTAAAATGACCATGGTGTGAGGTAGGGCAATTTTCTCATGCCCAATGGAGACAATCTAAACTTCCTATCATTCCAAAAAAGCCGTGTACGCTAGCATGATGAGCTTGAAATTGTATGATGTCATTGTGTGTATGCTTACGTAAATATTTTGACCCATAAAGTTGAATAACAGTTTTGTAAGAACAATGGAGACTATCTCGTGCAGTCCTAGCGGACATCCTAAAACTCTGGTCCAAAGCATCTGGCGTGATGTCATATGCTAATTGACGAAGTGTAGCTGTGTATTTTTGTAAGGAAGTGAAACTGGGTGTACCTCTAGCATCGGGACGTTGTTGGAAAAAACTGCACTCCCTCGTTAAATCTTCGACTATACGTTCGTATAAATGTTTGAACATTCTGAAGCGCCTTCGAAAGTAGTACCCTTGAAAAGTGGTATTCTCGTGAAAGTAGTCTTGTCTCAAGCGTTGGTTTGCTTCTTCGCGATTTCTATAAATATATGTTCTTGTTCTCCTTTCAGCACTTTCGGTTGCGCTACTGCATGCAACTTCATATGTTTGCCCCTCCAATTTAGCATCAACGACAACAACATCCAACATAACTTCAAATTCTTCAGAAGAATCAGACGACGATATTTTTTAATTTTTTTGAAATGAAAAGTAATAGAAAGATATAAAAGTTTGTAAGGATTGAAAGGTTTAAATAGATATGATTTAAAGGTTAAAAAGAATATATATATATATATATATATATATATATATTATATATATATATATATTATATATATATATATATATATATATATGGAAAAGTTCAATAGAGAATCATAATTATTGGTTCTTCAAGGAACCAAATCTTTTTTTCAATTTCTAGAGCTTATTCTTTTCGAAAAAAATCTAAAAATATCTAAAATTCATATATTAACATTGTGAATGTGAAAAATATTTTTCGGATTCATCGTGTGAATCCGGATTCACATTGTGAATTTTCAAAGATTCACATTGTGAATTGACGTAAAAAAAAAAATTGAATTTGATATCATTGGAAAAAAGGATAAAAGTTATGAATTTCTGTATTTTTAGTTTTTTTTTTTATAAAAATAAGTTCTAAAAGTTGAAAAAAGATTGGTTCCTTGGTTAATTATGATTCTCTATGGAACCTCACTATATATATATATAGATATATATAGATATATATATATATATATATATATATATATATATATATATATATATTATATATAGTGGCGGACGCAGAAGGTTTTAGTAGGGGTGGCACTAAAAATTTTTTTCCAAAAAAATCTATATTAGTAGTGACACTCGTATTTTAAGCCGGTGCACCTAATAGAAAAAACATAAAAAACATACAAAATTTTTTTTTTTACACTACATGCCGGAATCGGAGCTGTAGCCCGGGACCCCCCGGGCACCACTAAGGTCCGCCACTATATATATATATATATATATATATAGATAATATATATATATATATATATATATATTATATATATATATGAAAGCAAAGAACGTGGCCAAAATATACCACACTGCGGTCAAGACCTCAGCCAAACCGTAGGGAGGGACAGTGTTCGCTGCCTAGGTGGCAAGGATGCGCTTCCTCTACCGCACCATTCCCCCAAACCTAAAAGCAACGGTAGGTCGGTAGCTTAGCCATTTCTTTGGTAAAAAATACTTTTTTTTTTATCAATATTCAAATATTTATAATTAAATAAAAAACTTAAGAGCTATTAACTTAATAATCATATATGAAGCCAAAGATATCAAGATGACTATATTTTTAAAAGAAAAAAAATCATCAAATAAACATTAAATTTGTTAAAAAGATTAATAAGTTCTCAATTATTTTTTCTGGCGCGAAAAACTTTTTATGACAAAATGCTCGTAGTATTTTCTTAATATATTTTTCATGAGATTGAAAAAATCTCAGCCTACACAATTAATAGTACTAACTAATCTCAAAATTTTATTAACATATTATTTTCTTACTTTTCCATCAACACAACTAATACAATCAATCGGTATCAACTTTTTTTACTATTTATCAAAGCTCAACCAAACATATATACCTTTTTTTTCCATTTACTTGAAATAATTTATTTTTTATAAAAACATTCAACTTTAAAAAAATAAAAATATATTTCATATAATGTTTTTTTTAAGATTTTCTTTTAATTTAAGTTATAACTGAAATAAAATACGTCTTCTAGTAA